CGGCTGGTTTCTCGATCGGCCGGGCGACGGTCGTCTTGTCCGGCGGCGTGTATGATGCTCCCTCCCCGGTCGTTTTGTGTAGTTTTGCTTTTCTAACGGGGGACCGCGTGGGCCTTTCTGCCGACGCGGCCCCCTGGAGAGCGTCTTCCTGTGTCTCCCCCATCGGGATGACCCCTCGGGAAGACATGTTGTTTTTTATTTTGAATCTGGAGGCTTGCGCATTCTACGGGGCTTCTTGGGTTTCAACCTGGGGGTTCCGGAGAGGCGCCGATGTGTCTGCAACGGGATGCACGGACGAAGTTACGGAGCTGTCGGCTGTAGTCCGTTGGCAAGTTAACGAATGTGTATCGACGCCCTTGCCAACTATTGGACGGTGGATATCACGTGGCTCCAGCAGAGCTTTGAAATGATTGGTTGATCCTCGCCCGAGAGTGAGGGGGTCAGCGTCTTCAAAAGTCCGTGACAGGGGAGAGAGAACCCTTTCTGGCTTGGACTTGGACTAATTTGGAGGACGGCGAATGCCCTTTGCTTTGTATATACTGTGTACAATAGCTCGTCACGTCTAAATAAACAGTTTAGACGAAGTCCTCCCGCATCTGTCGCACTCTTCTGATCACCCACCGAACAAGGCTCATCAAACGATTGGCCCCGCAAGACACCGCCGGGCAGTCATCATCTATTCAACCAAGGGACGAACCTTTACTGGCGCAGCTCGACAGCGATGAGCGAGCCTCGGTGACGATCAGAGGATCAAGAAGGCGACAGAGGTGGTCCAGCTGAAGCTTCCTGGCTGGCCAGGTGCTTGAACGGAGCGACCGACGGAATCCGCCGACAAGCAGCGCTGAGCGTCAGGGAGCGGTACTGCCGAAGCGGACTGGCCGGTGGAAAGCGGCGCATGCGGCACATCGACGGAGAGAAAACCACCTGGGTCATCGGACAGCAACGCTGAACGACCGGTGGCTGAAACCAGGGACCTCGAGGGTCAGGAGTTCCGACGCCGAGGCCAAGGACGACTACTGAGGACGCAATATCCGGGCTCTGGGCGTCAAACTGCAGCAACGTTTGCGCCGGGTGAGTGGGATTTCTTGCGTCGGGTCGAGGTTGGCATGGCTGGTAGTTGGCGGGACTTATCCCAGGCAGCACGCGATATTGGGCCAACATTGGAATTGATGGGACAAAGAATGGCCCAACAATGGCCCAACTGAGCCATGTGTTTACCAATATTGGAATTACCTGGGCCAATAATGGACTATCATAGCCAATGTTATTCCAATATTGGTGATGCACTGGAATAAGCTGTCCAATATTGGACTGTGAAAGCCAATGGCTTGCCAATATTGGATAAATGCTGGCATAACCTGTCCAATATTGGACTGTCAAAGCCAATGGTTTTCCAATATTGGATATATGCTGGCATAAGTTATCCAATATTGGACTGCCAAAGCCAATGGCTTTCCAATATTGGATATATACTGGCATAACCTGTCCAATATTGGACTGTCAAAGTCAATTGTTTTCCAATATTGGATATATGCCGGCATAAGTTATCCAATATTGGACTGTCAAAGCCGATAGGTTCCCGATATTGGATATATGCTGGCATAAACTGTACAATATTGGACTGTCAGAGCCAATGGCTTTCCAATATTGGATACATGCCAGCATTAGCTGTCCAATATTGGACTGTCAAAGCCAATAGCTTTCCTATATTGGATATACGCCGGCATAACCTGTACAATATTGGACTTTCAGAGCCAATGTGTTTTCCGATATTGAATATACGTTGGCTTAAGCTGGTTAATATTAAACTGTCAAAGCCAAGAGTTTTCTAATATTGGTGATGTCTTGGTATAGGCATGTCAATATTGGTACTGCCATAACCAATGGCTTATCGATATTTACGTCGCCTAGGCTATAGACCCGCGAACCTCTTTTTTGCATTGCAGAAATAGGAAATTGGAAAAGAGTCATTCATGAGCTCGCTCGGGCGAGAATTTTATTTAGCCAACTTCATGGGGCGTATGTCGCCGGCGCTTTATAACCGCGATCACAAATACGTCCTTAGCTGCCTATAGGACTATTGCAGTTTTTTTGCCGGCTGCTCTCCATTCGCATTACCTTACCTCGGCGTTGACAACTTAACTCCGTTTTTTTAGATTTAAGTATTTTTGTCTTTTCCAATATATTTTTTATATATACGTACCGTTAACGTCTTCTCTTTGTCCGTGCCCCTGTCATGTTTGTATTTCTTTCTGCGTGCTCTATTTTTTATATCTAATGATTCGGTGCATATTTAGTCATTGTCGACGCAGGTGTCAACAAACATAAAGCCGCCGCTTACGCCGCAACCGAAGTGACTCTCAGTTTTACGAGAGTATATCGCGATATAAAGTCATATATTAAACTCAAGTGAAGTCTCGAGAGGGTTGCTTCGACTGCCAGTGCACATGTCATCAGGGTAGGCAGAGCAACGACGTAGCAATCGCGACGCGAGAGCACACTCCGCCTCGATCTGGCCGGCCGCGCTCGCTCTGCGGAAATGTGAGCGTGGGACTCTCGAGCCCCGTTAGCTTACTGAAGCTGCTAGACCCTACTTTGTTGTCGCGAATAATTTGCCCTTCGAACGGTCGCGAAGCCGTTGCGCTCGGAGTACCCTACCCAGCATCTTTCAGAAACCGTTCGCGCAGCATCGCAACCTTCCGTCTGCGAGCGTCGGCGATTCATCGTGTGTTGAAATTCGGACGATGTGCTGTTCGGGGTGTCTTTTATGTGTAACTCTTTCGTAAAACAATTTGAAGTTTAAAAACGCGAACCTAACAGCGTACAAACAGTTTTAAATTTATTGATAAAAAATATATTTATATACTTATAGATATATTTGTGTACATCGAGCGCAAAAAAATAGTCGCGCTTAGTTCTTCATTACATTATATTATATATTTATATATTATTATATTTACGTTATACGACGTAAAACATACTGTCTTCAAACTTGCCCCGTTTAGAACCACTTTTGGGCTGGAGAGCTTCTTTAGAAGTTCAAAAGCTGACCTTCAAAGAGCTGTCCTGTTAAATCGGTATTGACAGCAGGGTAGACGCTATGCGTGTTTAAGGCCAATCGTGTCTCCGGTTAGGGTCACTTGACTACGGTCTCGAAGCTGGTGATAAGGCAGAGCACGGAACCTGCCTAAAGCCCAAGGTCACGCATAACATCTACTGCACTATCAACCTTGGGTAGAAGTGACAAATTCTCTCGCTGCGTTCATTGTTGAGATGCCCCTGAAGATTAGCCTTTTGTAAGCGCACCCCACCCCCGTTCTGGCCTGCTTGCTTTGTCCTCCTTCTCTTTTTTTCTCTCTCCCTAAGCTGAAGGCACGGTAGACGGTCCGTACTCGCCGGACCAATGAACCGTACACGTTTTATCGCTTGAGTTCGCTCTCTGTGCGCGGGTAACGGCAGAAGCGTGATCACGTGGTTTGACGGATGACGCATTAGCCGTTGAAAAACTCGGAATGCCTGCGTCGCGAAGACCGGACCTAGTTTCGCGTGTGATGCGGCCTGCGGAGTGCGGGCCCGCTGTGGATTTCGCTTCTGTGGTAAATGGTATCTCGTTCGAAAAGTCCCACCCGTGTCGATTTCTTCATAGAAGCCCAAGACATTCTTGTGAATCGTTTAGTGTTCGGTTCGGCAAATGGCAGCGTGTGCTACATCGTGTTGAATCTTCACGGATCACTTCTTTCTGGTTTTTGTGTTTGAGTGGTTTTTTTGCAGTGCCCGTGTTTACATATATGTCGGATTACATCTTTCAAGTCCGGTATTTTCAAAGTAAGTGCGCTGCAACCTACTTGGTGATCATTGTCCGCTCTTGTATGGGTAATCTTCCGGATAACCTCTAGAATTGGGCAGGGCCTATCTCCTGGCAGCCGGGAGAATAAGTTTCCCGCAATCTTACCGACAGTCGCCTGCCATTATCTGTCTGAAATAATGTCACAACTGCAGGTAGAATGCTGACTTTTTTATTCTCCGTGCGTTTCGCGAAAACACGTTTCGTGGCCACCTTTTCGTCGACATTTTTGTTTCATCGACACGCGTTACGCGAATTGCGCGCTGTAAGGGCATTTCGTCGTGCGTGTATTCCTGAGGCGCAACGTTTCCTTGACATGCGTTACGCGAATTGCACGCTGTAGGGGCATTTCAACGCAAGTGTATTCCTGAGGCGCGTGCTCACCGAACCAGCCCACCCTTTCACGCCGCTTCATGCCAAGTCTGAAGCGGTTCATTGCAAAAAAAAAAAAAGAAAAGAGGGAAAAAGACGTATTTTGAGTTTTTTTTATAAAACATCGCGTGTTGATGAAACGATCTGTCTATGAAATGTCGTTCGATGAACTGATTGCACCGCCAATGAAGGGCGAATAGCGGTAGAATTTTGGGGAAAAAATTCTTCCAGCTGCCGGGAGACTGGACACTACCCAAGAATTACCCCGGTTTGTGTTTGCTTTGCAATCTTCTTAGTTGTATCACAGTTGAATAGTACCTCTTCACATATTACAAATTGCTGATTTTGTGCCTGTCTACAGAATAAGCTGTGTGTAATAAACTTTTTGAAGATTTTAAAACAATCCCTTGTGTCTGTTTACCTTCCTTTTTGCAAACAACTTGGTGAATGCACTTGCAAAGAGCTGGGCGAGTGCAACGATGGCCAAAAATCAGCATAACGGCCAACAGTGGATCGGGTCGCGCTTCCAGTGTTGTCCAATATTACGCCGGTTTTCGCCAATGTGGGAGCACCTTGGCTGGAACCATGGTTTAGCAATGGCCCAACATTGGCATTAATGATTGGGCCGACATTGGCTGGAACGATGGCTGAACAGTGGCCCAACATTGGCGCCGATCACTGGGCCAACGTTGGAAAGGGTAGCGCTTCCAATATTGTCCAATATTGCGGCCAGTCTTTGCCAATGTTAGGCCAATGTCGGACCGACATTGGTGTGCTGCCTGGGATGGTTTTGACGCGTCAGATGCTGGCCGACATGGAGAACGGGTTAAATGGAGAGAACTCGCAGGGGACAGGAGCCTCTGGTCAGGGGCAGGAGGCGCCACAGGGTGCGACAGAAAAGGAATCGGAGGCGGTCAGAATTCGAAGGCTCGAACTAGAATTTGAGTTGCGGAAAGCGCAACTTCAGATTGAGTCCGAAGAGCGGATCGCGTTGCGCATGGCACAGCTAGGAAAGGAAAGTGGTCGACCTTCGTCCTCTGGGTCGGAAACAGACGACCAACGGCACGCAGGCTTAGACCCGGTTGCGCAATGCGCAAAAGTTTTGAAAGGGTACAGCCTGCCATGTGACGCGGACGTTCCTCTATGGTTTGATGAGGTGGAAAAATTGTTTACCACGTACCAGGTGCCGGATAGTGGTCGAGTACATTTGATTATGCCGGTGCTAACGGAGCGTGTCCGCTACCTGCTGCGCAGTCTAGGGCAAGACGATTGTTTAGATTACGAGTCGGTAAAACGGGCGGTGCTGAGCGAACTGAAACTCACGCCAGCTGAGTACCTAGACAGGTTCGACAGTGCAGCCAAAAGAAAAGATAAAACATGGGCTCGGTTCGCCTCCCGTGTCCGAACCTACTTCACGTATTACCTTCAGGTGAGAGGTGCGGACACGCAGGAGACAGTAACGGAGCTCATGGTTGCTGATCGGATTAAGGCGAGCCTGAGTACCGATGGTCTGGAGTATGTTCGCCTTCGCGAGGGAGAAACTTGGTTAAAACCGGTCGAGGTGGCGAGGGTGTTACAGACTTATGAGCAGGCAAAAGGGAAAGGGAGCGCCACAAAACAGGTGTACGTTCCAACAGAACAGTCAGGGACTGCCCGGCGGTGTCTTGCGCCAGGGTTCAAAGGTCCCGCCAGGGTTCAAAGGTCCCGTGAACTCGGGTCGAGCAGCTGTAAGGTGTCATGTATGTCATGAGCAGGGACACATTGCCAAGCACTGCCCTCGCGCTTCGGGTAGTGAGGTGCCTCAGGGCCTGGCAAATGTTCCTCAACCGAAAGGGCAGACAGACAGAGTGTTAACCGCTCGGGTTGAGGTGAGGCGGTCGATTTCGGAGACGGGCCGCTCGAAGCTACAATTGGTTCAACTGGAGTGCGGTGACGTACACACCGAAGCAGTGCTCGACACGGGTACCGAAATGACGGTAGTACGGGAGAGCCTGCTACCTCAAGCTTTGAGGGAACCGTCGGGCACAGTGAAGCTAGTGTCCGCTTTTGGCCACGCCATTGATGCCAATCTTGCAACACTTCCAATAAGGTTGAGCTGTCCAGGTGCGGTAGAAAATCCAACTAAAGCCGACTTAGTGTGCGCGCTCACCAATCAGCTGGCGGAAGGGGTGAACTGTTTGCTTGCTTGCGAAGATTGGGAACTGTTGAAAGCTAGGAGCGGTAAGGTCCAAGTGCAACAGGGAGGTACAGCGGCCTATCCATGTGAAGTTGAAGAACAGAACGTCGGAAGAGATGAAGACAGCGAAGCACTGACTTGTGGGGTTGGCTAGGTAGGCCTCGGCCCTTCAGCGCTACAATGTAACAGCCCAGCATGGGAGGGGAACCAGTAACGGAAATACTGATGCGTACTGTGGGCTCAACAATTTATGTTGGGAGTCGACTGAGTGATCATGCCATGCCGCCTCGGTTAGACGTGAATGTTCCCCTCACCCGTGCCGCAGGGCGCTGTGGGGCTGTGAAGTGAATTGGCGAGTCGAACTTGAGGACCCAAAAGGACGTTCTTCTCGTTGCTGTTGTGAATACGTTCAATGCTAATGTAACGCTGTTTTTCTCTTTGTGTGTGTGTTGTTTTACAGCCTTTGGAATGTCACGCACGCGTTTTGGCCCCTTTTTATGTTTGCACTGGGGCATTCCGGTTTGTTAAAGTAGAACCTGTTGTTTTTATGTGTTTTGGTTTATTGTCAGCTTACGATTATGTTTGCACGCTTTGAGTCGGTTCTGAAGAACTTCACGTTAGTGTTATCTAGTTTTATTTCTTTGGCGTGTGTTTAGATTAACTGTTTAGCAGGTCCAAGAAGGACCAGAAACAGTCTTGGGGGGAAGGTGTAAGGGTTCTGGAAAAGACGGCTGGTTTCTCGATCGGCCGGGCGACGGCCGTCTTGTCCGGCGGCGTGTATGATGCTCCCTCCCCGGTCGTTTTGTGTAGTTTTGCTTTTCTAACGGGGGACCGCGTGGGCCTTTCTGCCGACGCGGCCCCCTGGAGAGCGTCTTCCTGTGTCTCCCCCATCGGGATGACCCCTCGGGAAGACATGTTGTTTTTTATTTTGAATCTGGAGGCTTGCGCATTCTACGGGGCTTCTTGGGTTTCAACCTGGGGGTTCCGGAGAGGCGCCGATGTGTCTGCAACGGGATGCACGGACGAAGTTACGGAGCTGTCGGCTGTAGTCCGTTGGCAAGTTAACGAATGTGTATCGACGCCCTTGCCAACTATTGGACGGTGGATATCACGTGGCTCCAGCAGAGCTTTGAAATGATTGGTTGATCCTCGCCCGAGAGTGAGGGGGTCAGCGTCTTCAAAAGTCCGTGACAGGGGAGAGAGAACCCTTTCTGGCTTGGACTTGGACTAATTTGGAGGACGGCGAATGCCCTTTGCTTTGTATACACTGTGTACAATAGCTCGTCACGTCTAAATAAACAGTTTAGACGAAGTCCTCCCGCATCTGTCGCACTCTTCTGATCACCCACCGAACAAGGCTCATCAAACGATTGGCCCCGCAAGACACCGCCGGGCAGTCATCATCTATTCAACCAAGGGACGAACCTTTACTCAAGTGTTGCTGGAATACCATCGTGACCTGTGGACATGGTGGGCTTCAGTTTTTTTATGCATTCCTGAATCATTCCCTCATCCACAGGCAGGGAGGAAATGGATTCGTTCACGCTAGGGGATGGCGGCTGTTGGTACCCACTCCTATTGTGTTTATATACAGAACTGAAATGACGCGCGAATATATCGCATACACTGGACGTGGTCACATTCTCCTCATTAAGTATAATATCAGGATGTGTCAATTTTCCTCCTCGAGAACGAACATGTCGGTAGAGTTTTCTTGGGTTTCTCCTCAATTCGGACTCCACTGACTCCACATATATATTATGATCAATCCTCTGATGTTGCTTACATAGGCGTCTATAATGAACGAACTCAGCCTCCCACCTGAGACTGCCAGTCTTTTTTAAATTTGCGATGAGAGAAGCTTTTTTTCTTCAGCAACTTTTTTAAATACGGAGAAAACCACGAGGGAAATTTTGAATTGGTATGCTTCTTTAGAGGAATGTAATGATCCATTCCCTCCTGCACCGCCGTCGTGAATTGAAGAACCTGATAATTGACGTCAGATGATTGCAGGATAGGGGACCAGTCGAACGTAGAAAAGTGGTTATATAATCCCACATAGTCACCAGCAGCGAAGTTATGCAGTTTGTCTAGGTAAGTGGGACTAGCAGCCAGTATACGGCTGACAGGTACATTCAAGGTTATAGCCACCTCAAGTGCAGGGTGATATTTGTCTGTCGGTACTAAAGGAAATTCACTCTTAGTTACAGAAACGTTATCAATGTTTGAGAAACAAAGGTCAAGCATAGCGCCTTTACTATTTTTAACCCTGCTGAACTGATTCAGGGCCATGAAAGAGGCAAAGTCAACAAGATGACCGGCCTTCTTTGCACCGTAATAATTACTTGAAACAGCACTGTGAGTTTCCCAGCACACACCTGGTACATTAAAATCGCCAATTACTAATAGTTTGCATTCACCCAGTTTGTCTGCTATATCCTCAATTCCAAGGAGACAATCATTAAACTCCTCGGGTTCAATGTATGGAGGAAAATAAAAAGTACCTATCAGAACGCGTTCTCGATTATCACACTCCAGCTCTACCCACACAGATTCCGAATAAGTCTCTAAATCGGCGCGCCTGGTGCACCTCAAAGACCTATCGATTGCCATCAAGACACCGCCTCCCGTTTTCTTTCCGCGAGATAAATCACGATCACTGCGATGCACAAGGAAATCCGACGAAAAATACTCCCCAGACAGTATTTCTGGGCATAACCAGGTTTCCGTTATACAAAATATAGAAAAGTCAGTACATATAGCATTAGAAAAGAAGACATTGGCCTTAGTACGAAGGCCGCGAACGTTTTGATAGTAAATGTGCGTGCTAGTCATTTCCAGGCAAGATGGTTGGGGATCACTCTATACGTTTATTCTCATCATGCACGCGGCTTCCCGTCAGCCGACCCTGAAATTCCCTGAAGAGGCAGCCCTCCGGCCAGATGTTCGGGTCAAACAATGCCTCAATGTCGCCGTCCACAGCAGCGACGTGGAATGAAGAGTACCCACCATAGTGTGTCTTCAGCTTTGTGCATCGAAGCTCCTTTGGGCCAACGAATTGTCCGAGATGTTCTCTGACGTCCGCCGAAGAACAGTTGGCGTCCAGACGTGTCACGAAGACAGCTCTGGAATGTCGCACAGACACCGATACGGCGGTAATTCCTCCATTCTTAGAACTTCCCTTAAAGAATGGCCGCTGGGGAATGGAGCCGGGGGAACGAAGTCCAGGGACCTTTCTCGCACTGTATTCCGGTAAGCCAGGCTGAGCCGCTGAGCGGCCACGGGCCAGTGGACCGGTCTCTCCCCTATCTCCTCCCTCGTCTCGATTGCTGTGAGCAGCTGAGCCACCGGCCCCCTCTGCCCGCGTCGCCGAAGCGGCAACGGAGGGAATGCACGTCAGCAACTCCGTCGTCGTCTCGCGGAAGGCTCTGCCGCTCAAGGTTAACCGGCTCTGGTCACGTTGAAGCTCGGGGGGCGAACGAGGAGTCACGGCGCACGCCTCGCTGAAGGAAACAGGTTCTTCAGACACCGTCGAGGTCGATTTCCCCTTGGGGAATGGGGCGGCTCCCCCTCCTCCCAGCACGGAAGCATTCAGATCATGGCGGCCCGCCACGGCAGCGGAAGGCGGGGGTACCCCGACGTACCTCGGGCGATGCCGGAGGTCTCGTAGCTCCGTCTGGATGTTGCGCAACATGACCGAGTGAATTTCGGAGCTCCTCGTAAGCTCGCTGCGAAGGCGAGCATTCTCCTCCCTCACAGCCGTCATCTGGTCCGTCAGGAAAGAGATGCCTTTCAAGGCGTCGGCCAGCAGGTCTCGGAGAACAGCCACCGAAGTCGCGGCGACCTCGCCGAGCCGGTCCGGGCAGGGTGAGTCCTGTTCGTCGTCAGGCCTAGCTTCGTCCGAGCTAGGACTATGCGTGCGCTCGACGGTGATGCAGTCGTTGCATATAAATGGGCTTACCCCAGTCATCATTCGTCCAACCTCGCTGTCCGGAAGCATGACACACTTCTTGTGCCAGCGTTTTCCGCACTCTTTACATCGGAGATACTTTTGTTTGCCGTAAAAAGGCTGAGAGCACCCGTCGCACTTGTCCTTACTGCCCGCCATCTTGTAATAATAATAATAATAATAATAATAATAATAATAATAATAATAATAATAATAATAATAATAAATAATAATAATAATAAATAAATAAATTTTTTATTTCACGTATTTCATAACAACATACAAGAATGCGGGTCCGTCGAAAGCCAAAAGAGGCTTGTGGGACTGGACCCAGCAGCGGCGTGAAGAAAATCAAATTCTGACGCTTGATTACAAAAAACAAACAAAACACTTAAAAAAAAAACAATTCCAAGAACTATGCATAAATAACTCTTAAAAAAAATTACTGACATGTAATCATACACCACAATAAATACACTAAAGGGGATTAAGAACGGATGGCCACGGAATACACTCTTTGACCACAAAAAATCTTCTATTCAAGAACTGGGAAGTGTGAAAACAAAAAAAAGAAAAAAAAACACGAGATGCACAAAAAGGACATGTTCAGAAGCAGGATAATAATAATAATAATAATAATAATAATTTATTGCTGGTGCGGATAATTTCTCAAGTTGAGGCACGGGTCTGTCAAAGCCAGTAAAGGCTTGTGGGACAGCACCCTACTGGTCATAATCACAATATTGCCGCGCGCAGGGTCACGGACTTGTAGAAAGTTCTCGTTTACTCTTGCTGCGGACGTAACTATCGTTCATCCCTGTTTTTGTTGTTCTAGAAAGTGCTTGTTCATTCTCGCCCCGAGCTCGCTACGCTCGAACCTTCTCCGCCGAATCTTCGAGATACTGACTCACTCTAGATAAGAGGCCGCCCGCGACCTTGTCGAGTCAGTCTCGCCCTAGCGCTCGATTCTGCTGACACGCCGACTTCGACGCCCGCGACGCTCTGCTTTCTTCTGTTTCCTTCTTTATTTTTTTGGCACAAGTTCGCCACATTAAACGTTTATTTCTTTCTGTTTATTTCCTGTTTTTTGTTTGGTCACCACCCGTGACATTTGGTGGAGGTGCGGGGTATGGACGCCCATCCGTCGCCGCGGCCTCAGTGAGAAACTGCTGAAACGATACTTTGGACCCTACAAAGTGCTTCGT